ACATTATTACAAATAACTTCATTTCTGGACATTTGATTTCTTTGTATGTATGGATCACTTGGGTTGTTACCGCCATCTGGTGAAAATTTCATGTCAATAGCACCTCTAGTAATATATTTACTGAAAAAAATGTTGACGTGTTCAATACTTATTTTACCTGCTGTATTCTGTTGAATGCTAAATCATAATTTCCAGACATGTTCTAAACACAACATCAAAACCTAAACTCCAAATGCAAAGTTATAAAATGGTTATAGAGCCCTTAAAACATAAATACAAATTCAAACATTTAAAGGGGTTTAATCATTTGAATTACAGAACAGCAAATAGAGACAGAATGTTTATTTTGACTTGTTTTTATCAACCAAATAACAGACTTCTTGAGAACAAAATCTTTCCCAAGAGAAAGGAAAGGGATAGTGAAAAGGCTTATTTTTAGATAGCTCTCCATGAGAGCTGAAAGAGTTCAGTCTGTGGAAGGAAGGATTTGACCTCAGGTGGCCAAAGATCAATCAGTGGCAAGATGAGGTGAGGGGAAATGGGCGTATTCACTACAATAATTAGAAACTTGAGAAGACATTTGACCCCAAAAACAAAGCAACCATGTGTTTATTGTGACTTTGAAGAAAGTAGTGAAAAAAATCACTCTTTTGTTGTTCTGGCATTTAACGAACTGAAATAATTTGTGACTCAAAACAGGATAAAACAGGTTTAGTGACATGTAAAAACATTATCTTTGACCTTTCAGCATTAGGAGAAAAACTAATATTTATGTCACAATGAAGAAAAAATTCAAGACTCTTTTAAAGACACTGTTTTATACTTTTACATTATTTCTGCTCATTTCTGCTCATAATGCTATTAAAATTTTAAAAATTATAACTAAGTTGACAAAAACCCAAAGCATGAAAATAAAAAGCTAAAATGGATTATTCTAATTTTTAACAACACAGGTTTTATTAAAAATTGGACCAAATTTCTTTTCCTGGGCTCACCTTGCTGTTGTGTAACAGGTAGTTCTGTTTCTGTCTCTTCTGGTTCTTGTGTGGATTCGGTGTCGTCGTCTTCTTCCCCATCTTGGGAAAATGCTACGATGCAACACCTCTTGTTACTTTGAGCACAATCAAATCAATCAACAAACAAGCAAGAAAAAAGCACACTGGGCTCTTTTATTACTGTAAAATAAAAACTAAAACACACAAAAGGATGAAAACTGTAAGGTCTACTCAGCAGCACTGTTGGAGCAGCCCGACTGAGTCACTCAGGAAGTTTAGACTTCCGTTTAAATGAGGAGTTGCGACAAAAATTAAATCTGTTGCCAAATTCATCATTAGGAAAGAGCAAAACAGGTTGGGCTGAGAGAAGTTACTCAAAGATTTCACTTTTTAGTTCCCCTTGTATTGTATTTAATGTATGTATGTATACACACACACACACACACACACACACACACATATATATATAACATTATATATTAGTCACCCACTTGGGTGTTTTATAGCTGCTATAAATAAGTTGGTCAATATAAATTGTCCTTTATTACCAAAACATTAAAAAGTACGTAACTTTCTTCAATGTCAAAGTGAACTCAAATGTCTACAGAGAATTACTACGTAAATAAAAACAAGAAACATAAAGCAAGTGATATAATAAATATTCACCACCCTTTAAAGCGAATGTCCTATATCATCTTAGAGAAAAGATGGTTGAAAATTAAAAGTCAGGGGACGAATACACAAAAAGATTTCCAAGATCTTAAACATCCCCAGGAGTTCTGTTAAATCCATCATCAAGAAAAAGAAGCCATGAGCCACGTGTAAATCTGCAAGAACAGATCGCCCTCACAAGCATAAGGAGAATGGTGGGAGAGGCACCGAGACACCTGTGACTGGGAAGGAGTCACAAGCTTCAGCAGCTGAGATGAGACATCAGTCTGAGCTTTATGGAAAAGTGACACTGTGATAAAAACTCACAATGAATCTTGACCAGTCCAGACAGTTTCTTTGAATTTAACAGAACTCCTGAGGATGTTCAGAGAGTTAGAAATCTCTTTGTATTCATCCTGATTTGTATGAGTAAAATTAAGACTTTCACTTTAAAAGGGGGTGAATATTTATGCAATCGTTTGTTTTACATGATTACATATTTTAGTTTAAATGCTTTTATATTGATTTTATTTTGACGATGTAGAAAGGTTTTTAAAAAATTAAAGAAGAATGCAATTTATATTGAACATTATGAATTCATAACAGCAATAAAATCCCAGATTCCCCCCAGGAGAGGAATGCTTTTTATAAGATTAAACAGCCCTTTGGTGTTTGTGAAAAATGACTCAAGCTGAGCTGATCAAACGTCACGAAACTTAAAAAAAACTGATTCCACTGAAGGCCTCTGGTTTTTAGCTGGGTTTCAACTGAAAGGAAGATTAAAGCTGGAAAACAATTTAACATGCTGGGTCTTGTTCCTGTTAACGTATCTGCTCTGCTCCGCCCGGTGATTTTAAATTCATTTCAAAATGAGCAAAAAACCTCATCAAAACTTGTTTTTAACTGCGTGAGCCGCTCTAAACTTTGTGTCATGAAGTAAAGTTTGTCGTAACAAAGTAAAAGAATCAGGTTAAAGCAGAGAGCAGGGAGGAGGCAGGTTAAAGAAAAGTGTTGTTTTCAGAATGAAGACAGTTTGTTTCCTGTCCTACCTTTCTCAGTCAGACTGCTCAGCAGCAGCAGCAGCAGCAGAAGTAGAGGGGTCTTTAACCGGGGGCCTCTCATGTTACTAAGCAAAGACATAAAGACATAATGTCACTGCTTCCTCCTGTGTTGTCACAGCATCACACTTCCTGATTTGACTTAACATTTACAAAAAAAAAAAAGAAAGGGGAAAAAAACAGCCACACACCCACAGATTCACTCGGATAAGTCACTCGGATGTGATGCAACAAGCTGTGTGCTTGTAGATACAAGTCTGACGGCTCTTCAGCTGCAGGGAAATCACATTCCTGACAGTCAGACGGAGCAAAGCAGTGGAGTTTCAGTTAATCAGGTGTCTCTTCTCACCCGCTCTCCGGTGCTCTGAACTCTGTGGTTGTGCACCTAAGAGCAAGTTCCCGCAGGATAGTTGCATCCGCTCTGTAAGGTAGACTAATAATCAGAAAACTGTGGGTCACGCTGCTATGATCGTCTCTGGGCTGATGGCCTACTTTCAAACAGCTCAACGCCACCTTTCTTATGTCGAGTTTCTGTTTCTGAGGCTTATTTTACCTGATAGCTGTCTTAGCACTATGAAAGATGGCACCAAAAGGGTTAGAGAACAGGAAATTCAAGTAAATTTCATCCTCTTTAAAAGGCTGTTTGATGATGGCATTAGTAAACTCAGCATCAACACAACCTTTTAGATTCTGGACGTTCTGACTGCATTTGACACACAGAAAAGAGCAAGGAGCTCATAGTGGACCTCGTGAAGAAGAAAATGGCTTTCACATTAATGGGATAGCGGTTGATCGTGCTACCATCTTCATTTTCCTGGGAAATCACACACCAGAGAACCTCCCATGGGTGACCTGGTCCAGAAGGTTCATCAGGTTGAGAATCAGCTTCATCAGATCTTGAGAACATCCTCATCTTGCTGTATCACAGTCTTGCTGTATCTAGGTTTAGTTCAGAAACTGTTCTGCGGCAGACCATAAATTACTGCAGAAGTGTGGTAAAAACCACCCAAAGCATCATTCGTGTTTTGTCTTCTGCCACAGAGGAAGTCTGGAGGAAGTGGTGCCAAAGCAGCAGGCAGCGTTGTGGGTTTTCACTCGTATACTCTCTGAGAGACACGTCTAGGTGTCTGCAGCTCGGGACCAGCTGTGTCGCCAATAAACACTGCAACTCACTGTATTCGCCTTTGCAACAGGGCAACAGAAGTTGTCATCCTTTCTGTTCAAACTCAGCACTCTGCCAAAAATGACAGAAGGGATACATTTTTATTTTGTATAAAAATACTGATCATATTTCTAACTCCAATTTACCTTACTCCATTTAAGAAATCATTGTTTTAATATTGGATTTTCTTGTTTCTTCGTCCTGTTGTTCATCACCTGTGTTGTTAAAAAACTGACTGAGACAATCCTGGAGCAACTAACTGTAACCCAGACTGCAAAATGTGTGCCTTAAAAGACCCCATAAATAAAAAATTGGATTTTTTTAAAATATTTATTTTATTCTAGCACCCTTTATACTGATTTATTTAATTGAATTTTATGACATAAAAGTTTTCCAACATGTGACATTGTCAGCATTAGCTGTTAAATCAAAAAACTAACAAAAAGAGTAAAAAATATTTGTTGATTAGGTTATTAATTTATTGATAATCAAGTTAGGTTTGAAAAATTTAAATCCTACTTAAAAATTAAATTCCTCTCAATCAGCTAATTCAAAAATCTCCAAACCACAATTTACTGATTAGGGAAAGCAATGAGATGGAGCAAAAATGCCATGCAGTTTACAATGCTTTGCATTTATTCATCTTAACACAACCCATAAACAACTGAGATAATATATGCAAGCAAATTTATTCAGGTTTAAAAAACTCTGAAAAGACAAAATTATGGTTTTGCTGTTTTCTATTGCACTATTATTTCCTCAACACAATTTTCTTTACGACATCATTTTGTGACGGACCATTTCCGCTTCCGGTATTATTGTCAATAGAGGGTTTCCACGCGTTTTATCTCTGAGAACATGGTGAGGCTGTTTCTCTGTTATAAGCTGCGTTTACTATGGCAGAAATGCAAATTTTGGTTACAATTTGATTAAATTTTTTATGTTTTATTCTTAAATTGTTCACTTTTTTTTAGCCGAAGGCTCAGAAAGGAAAGGCGGCGGAGAAAGTTGTTCACCCGTACAGCAGGAAGGCTGGTTATCTCGCACGAGAGGAAAACAAACTGAAAAAGAAAAATAGGTTTGTAAATTAAAAATGACAATAAATACAATAGTAGCAACTATGAACAGAGGTTTGAGGGAGGGAGTTCCTTCATTAAAAATAATGTATTTCCATTTAAATAAAACAAGGTGCATGCATTACTTGACTCAAGAAAGTGAGAACAAATATTTCCATTGCTGTCCAGCACATGATGATCAATGTTGTAAATAAATATTATCATACAGTTCTGAATGTTTAAATATTTTCTCTGCTGCTTCAGGCTGAAGAATGAGAAAGCAGCTCGGCTGAATAACATTGGTAAGCCTGTTTTTTTTTTTTTTTTTTTTTTTTTTTTTTTTTTTTCAGTCATAATAATGTAAATGCAAAGTTCCAGTTTAGTAAACTGGTTCTTCTTGTGTCTGAATGTTTAATCACAGGTGAGAAGCTTTTATGGTTTCAAAGTCAGTTGGATCCATCAAAGACAACTTACACCCAGAAAGATGCTTGTGACATTATTGAAAGGTAACAAAAGGGTTTTATGTGTTTTTTTTTTCTTTTTTTGGTCCTTAGTACTAAAATAAGTTTAATTTGAAATACATAAAAAGATATTTAAGAGGTCAATTTTGGGTCTGCATACCTGTTTGGTTGCATAAACACATAACATATACTAAGATACAAAATGATCCTACAATATGTGAATTATACAAACCTGAGACCCAGATTGTGCCTGTATGATGTGTAATTGCCTCAGTCTGTGTGATTTTCAGTGAGATGTAGAAATCGTAGAGAGCTGTTGTGTTCTTGGCTTGGGTTCAGGTACCTGCACAGATTCGATTCCGAACTTGAGCAGATTGAGTTAGTGAATGGGATCAAGGGTCGGCAGGGTCGGCTCCATGGCGCCAGAGAAGCTGTCATCAAACAGACAGTAGAGCGAGAGAGGGAGCAGTACGAGAGCGTTGGGTTCGGTGAGGGTTTTTTTTTTTTTTTTTTTTTTTTTTGCTGTTGTTGTTTGTGAACACAGAAATGCTGCGCTCCCACATTCAGAGTCAGAAAATCCTCCTTTATCCTGCATTGTTGTTTTCAGAGATCCCAGACATCATCAATGGGAAGCATCTGAAAACATTCAGGTGAGTCTTGAGCTCTGCGTGTTTAAAATGAACCGTTTCACTTTTATGAATCGACAAATCAGATGGAGCATTTTACTGCCGAATGTATTTATAGGACTTGGTTTTGACATTAAGTGATTTTTTTGAAAATAATACAGTGAGTACTTTAAAACTAGAGAAGAAAGCTGTTTTTATAAGAGCTTTAATTTGGAGTTGAAAAGACCATGAGAAAATATTTTTTTACATTCAAACAGAAACGAGTGGAAAGATTTTAAAATGCCAGAACAGTGATCCTTGCTCAAATACCCAATATTCTGTGACTGCTTTAACTTTGATCCAAACATTTCTGTTTGTGATATCCCTGTAAATGAAACTGATGAGCACCAGCTAATCTGGATTTTTTAACCAGATTACCTGAAGTTTAAAGATTCTTTAAAGTGATCTTGGAGCCTCTTCTCCTGCTAACAGGGTCTTTTCCCCCCAATATTCAGAGGAGTGAGTGCACAACAGAATACTTTTCATTTAATGTTATCTGGTTTGTAGAAAGTGTTGCAATAATTGGTTCAATACTCTTCAGAAGAGCCACACTGGGATGACAAAATGCATGCCTTTCTTAGTTTGTGCAGTATTAATGATATCACTTAATAATCAAATTGTTATTTTTATAATCTGCACATTCATTGTCTTCATAATGTGTAGATTCAGCAGTTTGTCCGCTCTCTATGATCCAAAATAAAACCAGAAGACAGTGAAATTCCCCTCTTTTCATAAAGGTATCTTTAAATGTTTGTTGATTCTTTATTTTGGCAGAGAGTGGACCGGAGATCTGAAGAAACTTCCAAATATCAAACTACGAAAAGTGTCAAGTAAAGGTTCAGACACAAAGAACGTGGTGGAGGAAAAGGAAGAGGCAGAGGATGATCAGAGGGAAGAGGAAGATGAAAATGAGTTGGACAGTGATCAGATGGAGGAGATTGTGTAGATGTCGGACTCCTAATAACACCTGTTTTCATGTTGAAGCCTCTGTGCAGCTGGGACATTAGACAGGACTTTAAGATGCTGCTGCTGTTCCACATATGTCCAGAAGATGGCACCAAACTCAAAGACTGATGCTTAAAATCAAGCCACATTTCATCTCAGTAACTTCGCGCCAGCTTGGTTGAGGTTCTACATTCATTATTTATTGCACAAACAAGTGATGCTTTGAATTCGAGTCATGTCCAATCTGAACCAAAAATAAAAACCTTTAATGTTTTGGATTAAAACCAGGAGAAACCGTATGTTCTGTGATCAGACAGGAAAATAAACCTGCAGAAAAGTAAACATAAACAACTGTCTGTGTTAGTGTACTGAGCTGAGATGAACACGATTACAATCTAAACGTAAAACATGTATTGGTAACATTGTTACTGACATCCAGATTAAAACATAAATAAATCAACAAATGTTCTACTTTAATAAATATTAAAAACCTCATCAGATTTTATGTATTACAGAATTAGATTTCAGATTTAGTTTAAAAGATCTACTTCTAATAACTGAGTCTTTGGTGTCTGAAAACCTGACTGTCCAGAGATGTTTCAAGGCTTCAGTATGCTTCAGGAAAAGTGCTTTTCAGTTGTTTTCTACAGCATCAAGGAGGATCTCACAAGTCACAAAACCTACACACAATTACCTATTTGGACTTTTCTTGGGCACTAAAGAAATGCTTGTTGTGGAAAAAAGATGTATCCACTGCACCCCCCATGTTTTAAATAATATATCTTTATGTAAAAGCTTATAAAAAAGGGTAAGATTAAAGCAAAGTGGAGGGGTTTAATATGCAAGTATGAGATTTATAAGAATATGAAACATGTTTCAAATCGTTTTAAAGTGCAGTGAGGTGCTCAGTGTCTGACTCATCGATGGAAACAAAAGTTTTCTTTAAACTCGGGTCGTGAAGTTTGAAGCATACTGAGACGTTTCATCGAAAGGTTTTTCACATCTTTAACTTGTGTCAGTGCAGGTTTTAAAAAGTGCATAAATAAAATGACATCAGTACCGCTCATCCACACCTTCATTTAGCTGCTGGCTTTTATTTTCTTGGCGCTGCCTCCCCTGCCCGTTTCTCCGCGTTCCCAGGATCACCGAAGAACTGGATCAGTTCTCAGCATCTGTCGACTCTCATCCTAAACATCGATGATCGCAGGAGTCGAGAGGACCGATAAAATGCTGAGTCGGCTTGCGGGAGAATCCGTCAGACCGGTGCCACCGCAGCCTCCACGGACATGTCTGAGTCCATCTGGGCCGCTGGAGCCGCGCCGCGGACAGGCGTGAGTGGCACCTCGATGGTTTCGTGCTTGCCGTTGCTGAGGGCGCTGGGCCGGGCCTGGGAGCTGTGCAGGTTCTTCTCGGGGCAGTTCTGCACGGTGATGATGCGGTTGAAGGCCTTGAGGCGGCGCCACAGCTGCAGGTACACTTTACACTGGATGTACATGAAGACCAGGCCGCCTGTGAAGCCAATACCCACCACAATCAGCTTGGTCCAGAAGGGCCACTCCAGCACACCTGAGAACACACACACACACACACAGCTCCTGTTCATGAACCTGCTGAGTGTGTGAGGAAGCATGATGGATGTGTGTGCAGAGCTGTGCTTACCCTGCGGGGAATAGTACTTCAGAAGAGAAACTCTCCAAAACTCGTCTGCAATCAAGAGTGAGTGTGATTTCTCTTTATTTCTCTGGTCTCTGGATTAAGTTTTTCAGTGAAAATATTGGTAATACACCGTGTGTAATCTAACGCTCTAATCTGGTGTCCTAGATTATGATCACACCACACTGAACACAAACACAGTTGTACTAAAGAGCTGGGTGTCTCATGTAGCTTCTCCTCTGGGATGTTTGTGGAGTTTCCTGCTAATTTCAGATTATTTCACTACATTTCTGTTAAGCCAGAGTGAAGATGTTGGCAAATTCTTCTACTATTTACTTTTTCTTTAACGATTCAGTTTAAATGTTGTCTAACTGCAGATGGAATAAACTAAAGCGTAATAGGTTTTCTCCTTGCAGCATGAACACCTCAAACTCAAGGCCCGCGGACCAAATGTGGCCTGCCACAGCATTTTATGTGGCACATAAGCGTTAGCTGATTCAAAGCCAACATTGCCCATAAGCTACATCTCCTGTAATGGATGGTAATTATTTTACCCACAAAATGTCGGCATCCCACCACTAGGTGGAGGTGCACAGGGTTCAAAAGGAGCCAACAGCCGGCCAAATTCACAGAGTAAAATCTCCATTTCGCTGCATTTTTTTACTGACTACTTTTGCTGTGGCCCAGTTATACAGGGAGTAGTAATTTCTTACTTGAAAGTCGTAAATTTTATCTGGAATGTGCCTACAGTAGGAATTCCCTGTTCAAAAGTCAGAGTTCAGAAATTGATAGTGGCTCCTTACTGTATTACTTATTTCACTTTCAGTCAGCCGTACACATTGGACTTTTCAGTTTTTATAGAAGTGTTAAAATGTTTCTATGTAGGAAATACCACATAGAGCTTGGTTATTGTTTGTTTAACATGAAACATCAAAGGTAATTACGGCTGGCCCTCAGTGAAAAGGAGTTTGACACCCCTGATATAGATGTTAAGTGTTTATATGATGATGAATTTATAAACCTCAACATTAAGCAGTAAGTTATCCTGATTCCTTTGGACAATTTTACCTCCTAAATAGCTGCTAATCTAAGAGGTTCAGCTGATGTGGTGTCAATATAACTCGTTTACTAAAACTAAAAGCACAGCAGCATGAAAAACAGGAAGTTAAACCTAAAAATGTCATTTTAAATACTGAAAAAATTAAATTTTTAATGCTTGTATTTATGCATTCTACTTCAGTTTTAGTAAAAGACCTAATTGTTGTTGTTGTTGTTTTTTTACATTTTAGGATGCTGTCATGGTAGAATGAGTCCTTTTAAGTTATACCTTCATAACTGAAGAATGTTTTTTTCTTATTACATCTAGAAAACACATATTCGTTCAGTCTAGAGATGTGACGTTCAAGAATGATCCGAATCTTTTGAACGACTCTTTACAACAAACGATAGGAGCTGAGTCGCGGGCAGTAATGAGCCATTTGTAGTTTTATTTTTGTATTCCTCATATAATCTTTATTTTGTTCATCCTTAAATCACTCCAGCTTTGCTTTTCCACGGAAAACAGGCCGAACAGTGGAGCACAGCAGCTCAGAGGGAAAGGGGGAGGGGTTTCCTTCTTGACAAAACATGGTTCCACCCACGTGACGTGCTAATGTCATCATGTACGACGACATGATGACGTAACTCGTTCAAAATCGAACGGCTCTTTTGAACGACTCTATGAAACAAACGGCTCCTCAAGATCTGCATCCCTTCAAAGAGTCATTTATCCCATCTCTAGTCCAGTCCGGATGTGGGAAAGTTCACCAAGCATCACTCAGAGGCATCTTCAATGTTTTATCAAACACAACATTCTTGCTATCAGAGGAGGTCTTGGAAGAGATCTGATTATATAAAATCCTAAAAAGCCAAAATTAAATGATTTTCTTTGCTTGACCCAGATATTCACTGACAGTCATTCCTCATTTTTGATGTCACTGATGTTCCAGCTTGAGGATATCAAAGAGTAAAATGTATAATTTAGGTCTAATGTGCTGAGGGAAGCCTAGGGGTGACCACCACAGGGGTTTTACTGAACCAGTCAAAAGTTTAACTTTTTTTCATCCAACAAAAAGAACAATTAATTTGTTTGAGTAGGCTGGTGTGTTCAAACGTTTGACCGGTTCTGTACGCTCATGTTACTAGAATGAAAGGAAAGACATAAACGAGGAGAAATTATTCACACAATCCATTAGTCACACATCCAGAGTCAGACAGATGCATGAAACCTACAGGTGAGAAGTTTCCTGGTACCCAGGTGTCAGATGGGATGTTTTATTTTTGTAACATAATTTGTGTTTCTGTGCTAGATTATTTTGTTTAATATAATCAGCTCAAGAATGTGAAGCTGATCAAAACTTTTACTTACCTACAGGTTTGAAAGTTTTATACACTGCCTGGTCAAAAATAAAGTCACCACCAAAAAAAGGTCACACACTCTTAATATTTCATTGGACCACCTTTAGCTTTGACTATGGCACTCATTTGCTGTGGCTTTGTTTCGCATTAATTTTTCACCAAGATTTTGCAATGATGATGGTAGAATCTGACCGCTGTGCAAAGCCTTCTCTCCAGCACATCCCAAAGATTCTCAGTGGACTCTGTGGAGCCGATCCATGTGTGAAAATGATGTCTCATGCTCCCTGAACCACTCTTTCACAATTCCAGCCCCATGAATCCTGGCATTATCATCTATATGGCCGTGCCATCAGGGACAAAACAATCCATTGATGGAATAACCTGCTCATTCAGTATATTCAGGTCAGCTAACCTCATTCTTTGAACACAAACTGTTGCTGAATCTAGACCTGAACTGCAGCAAGCCCAGATCATAGTACTTAGTTAAATCCAGGTGGCGGCTTTTTTTGGCCGGGTAGTGTATTTTCAAAGACAATATGTGTCAAAGATGCAACATCAGCAGATAAAACAAGGCAACTCTGTGTTTAAAAAGATCAGATCATTTTTTTTAAAAGAACGTTTTGAAATGGAGTGAAGAAACCCCTGCAGGGCACCATCCAGTTGCCACAGTCAGTTTTACTGCACCATCTTCAACGATTCACTCTACATGGCTCTGGAATGTGTGTGCAGGAGACAGGAGAGAAAAGCACTGACCGTTCCTCCCCAGTCGGATCTCTTCTGTGGTTCTCTTCACCAGGATGTAGACGGACCACAACATACACACGATGGCGATCAGGTGGAACAACACCGAACAGAAGATCTTCCTCCTCTCGCTCTTCGACATGTGCAGCTTCTCCCACTGCAGACAAACGAGGTGGGAAAAAAAGTTTTAATGGGAAAGGAGAGAACAACCTGACGTGATGTTTACTTTTTTGTTTGTTTGTTTTTGAGCTCGGAAGACTTCTTGATCGGACCTTGCTCAAAGGTTTGAGCTTAGTTTCCATGATGAAGTCGTATTTGCAGAGTTCGCAGCAGCGGGTGTCTGAGGATTTAATCCATTGGTTGAGGCAGGCCTGATGGACGAAACTCAGGCTCCCGGTGCAGTGACAGGGCGTGATCAGAGGGCACTCGTCGTCCCCCTCACAGTGGCAGATCCTGCACACAAGCATAATGCACACATGTCAAAAAAAGGGGAGTTTAAGAAGTTTTTTCTCTTTGTGTTTGTCTGCTTCTGTTTGGGCAGCTCTGGTTTAAGCATATTGTGATGTTTCCAAACTAACCTGCAGACCTCCAGCTCAGAGTCCTCTGAACAGGGTCTAAGTGCGCCCCCGTTCACACCACAGTGTTTCTGTGGCATGGGCACAGACATGTCTCCATCTCCTGACCCCTTCTCCTGGTATTTCTTGGTGATGAGTTCCTCCCCGTTCTCTGCCGCGGAGGTGCTCCTCGTCTTGGAGCTCTTCTTCTCAGTGTCTCTGCTCTGTGATCTCTCCCTGTGGGAAGCAGCAGGCCCTCTCCTCTTCGAGCCCCTGACGTTGCGGCGCTTTTGGAGGCCACTGCTGTCCTCCACCAGAGGGCGATTGTCCTTCCCTTCGTTTGAATCCACCGACAGCAGCTCCATCACGTCAGCTTTACTTTCTCTGGCCCTACAGCCATTCGTTGCCTCCTTCTCCCTGCGGGCTCTCCGTGCTTTCTCTTTGCTCCAACTGCGAGCCTCGCGCCGCGCCTCCTCCTCCTCGGAGGAGGAGTCGGACTGCAGGGCACCCGAGCATCGGAGGCGAGGCGGTAGTTCCCTGCGGTTCTTGTGGGAATGCTCCCTCCTCTCCTCCAGCTCGCTTCGGTCCGAGCTGAGGCTGCGGTCGCTCTGCTCCTGCTTGCCGTTGGCCTCCGCGCAATCGGAGGAGGCGCAGTTGCTCCTCTTGCGGCGGTGGCGTCTCTTCACCTGCTTTTTCTGAGCCTGGGCCGAGGAGCCCAGAGCCGTAGCGCTGATGGTCATTGTGGAGGAACTGTTTGTGTGCCTTATGTGCTCGACTGACTCAGAAGCATCCTCCTCTAAATGGATCAGCTGGCCAGGACTGAACACACACATACAGACACACACACGCACACAAACACACACACATGCAGATGTACATGAACAAGCAAGTGAAACAAAATGAAAAGGTATAAATCTAAACAATTAACAAAAAAAATGTACTCAGGAATATTCAGATTTTGGCTTATTTTGCATTTGGCAAAACAATGAAATAAAAAAAAGCTTTGTGCAGTCTCACTTAAAGCAATTTTTTTTTGGAAATCCAACATTTGTCATCCTTGAAATCTATATGGTGTGGAGTCAAAGTAATATTTGTCCATCAAAATTATGTTTTATGGTCTTGAGCAGGGTGGGTTAAACCCAGTTACACAAGGGACGCAAATTCCAAACAGTCCAGGTCAATGGCCAATCCCTGGTAATATTTATAGTACATTATATTTTCAATTTATTTTGAAAAAAACATTCAAATGTTATTAAAAAACTATTTTATAGATAGATGTAGATATTGTTATGCATATTTATTTTTCTAATTTATAATTTATGTAGCATTAATCCTAACATAAAAAGAATAAGTATTACACACTACTCATAACTATTTTATTATTTCTTAAAGGGGACCTATTATGCAAAATTCACTTTTTAAAGGTTTTTTTTACTCAACTTTGGGTATGTACTTCTTAAAAAAAAACAAGTCCTAGGACCAAAAAAATGCACCCAGGGGCATATTTACTGTACGTAAATGTATTTTTAATGTATATTAACGAGAAGTTTTATACTTCCGTCATTTTGTGATGTCACAAGCCGTACGACAACCCACAGGAACCTGCGTTCAGCCCCTAGCAACCCCCGGATGAGACTCCTCCTCAGTATAAAAAGCTGTCACCGTGTTGTTGTGTAATGCGCAGCTCATTTCACAACAAGCCTCCAATAGGGCAATGGGTAGAGTGTTGGACCAGAGAGTGGGAGATCAGGGTTTGAGACTGGCATGGGCACAAACAATTTATTTTTATTTTTCATTTGTTATGAACACGTTTTCTCATGTACCTCTATTGTTTAGCTTATTAAAGCCTTGTTAAAGCCTATTTGTTTGAGTTTCTGAGGTATTTTGACCACCTGCTGCTCCCTGCTCTGGTAACAGCATGCAGAGTGAGCGCAGAGCAGAGGAGGGAAAGAAAAAAAAGAAGCTTCCACCATGACTCTGCCTCTGGGTCTCATATGGTTGTACAACAGAGATTCTGCTATTATTAGCCATGCTAACGTAAACGCTGGCTTTGGAGGTCAGAGTTAATGTCAACAGATTTTTGGAGGGCGTTACCAACAGAGCTCATTAACATAAACAGCTCTTCTGAACGGAAGTCAGAGCAGGCAGAACTAGAAAATGAGAAATTTTATTATCTGAGAATTATTTTGTGCATTAAATTGAATGAACATGGTCTGGATAGCCCACAGACATACCATAAAAATTTCTAGGACCCATAATTGGTCTCCTTTAAAGATCACAAATCACAAATCAACATATCAGTTAAAAAATTAAAACCTTTAGAAACAATTTAATTATTTGAGTTTAAAATAGAAGGGGGTGATAAAGAATTATGGTTGACTACTGTTGACAAAATACTGCACATAATACAATGAGATAAAGAGAAACTTTAAAACTATTTTACATTTAAAATAGTATTGGGGCCAGATAAAATGCTAACGAGGGCTGGATTTGGCCCACAGGCCTGCAGTTTGACACATGCGGTCCACAGGTATGAGGCGCATCTTTTGACTGAGTAGAAATTAAATAATGTGACGACAAAAGAAAAATAAATGACAAATCAAGTCAGTGAAGCATGTGATGAAGATTGACTACAGAATAAATGGAGGATGACAGACGAGGCTCATTCAGAGACACACAGCACATTTGATCATGCTTCTAACAGTGTTTCAGTCAAAAAGATCAAGTCTGAGCCTGAAAATGTGACGGTCACACCACAACAGTTTCTGGGTTTGGTAAGCTTTTTATCTCTTTTTTTAAGTGTGAAATCCAGTTTTAGTATTCATTTTTTGTTTGTTCTACTCTTAACCAAAGGCCCTGTCACACGAACATTTAAACAACTTGTGAAAAGTTTGTCCAACACTAAAGATATCTGAGCTGAAAATGGAATAATAAAATACTCTGCTGGAAGCCTCGTTTGGAAGATGCTAACAAATATACCGCCGATATGAGTGAAATAGTCATAACAAATTTTTAAAGTTGGCACAAGTTATCTAAAATGTTATAGTGTAACCAGGGTCTTTGCTCACTAGATGAGTTTAGACTAACACAGCAGCTGGCTCACCTGCATATGTCCTGAGCAGACGTTGTTATCGACGTCCCAGAGGCTGTGGTGACTCCAGAGTTGCTGGCCTGAAACAACCAACATCTTCCTTTTAATTTAACTTCACAAAATTAAACCCGAAGAAATTTATTATGTTTATAATTTATTATGTTTATATGTTTATTACTGATTTTTAAAGCAGCACACCTACTGTTTTATTCCTAGGACAACTAGGATAGTTTTGATAGCCTATAATTAACTATTTTTATGATTAAAATGTGATTTAGTTGAAGTGCAATCTGGTTTGAGTGACATTGTCACGGTCAACCTCAACAGAATGTACCCTTGAGACATTAGTTAATACACTCCGCAATCACTGACAACACTTAACTATGTTTCCACTAGTAATCAGATCTTTGTCAGGAGGCTCTGCTCCAGATGTGATGTATTGCCAAGAGAGGAGCTGGGTTCAGCAAGACTGTATGATATTGACTGTTTTTTTGTTTTGTTTTGTTTTGTTTTTTTTGATGCGGTAACAAAATTTTGGACAATAAACTGTCTGTATTTTGGTCCAGCTGGCTTTTGTAAGACTTCATATTACATTCAACACTTAGTCCTTTTCACTGATATAAACTTTCCATTCATTTCAGAGTCTTTTGATTCATAGTTAATGTTAAGCTGTCATTTAGTAAAGTATATAACATAATTATGTACACATCAGATAAACCTTGTGGTCCATTATTGTGTTCCAATTGGCTTTACGTGCAGACCTCAAACATTTTTGAAGTAACTTCCTACTTGTAAGAGAAATACAACCTAACATTATGACAGCTGACCTCTCCTATAAGGTCTAACATATGGAGATTACCTTGGAAATGTTGCTGGACCGACTCCCTGAGCGTCCAGGTGCCTTCCTTCCCTGCAGGAAGAAAAATAACAGAGAAGTAATTTAAACAGAGAGTTGATTGATTGATGTGTCAATCAGTTTATTTGACTAATTTATGCTTTTTTCGTGTTTTGTTTTAGCCAACATGTTAGGCCAACTTTGTTTTAAATGTATATTTTTGTGTGTTGCGTGTTTGTAATTGTAACTGGAAAATTATAAAGTATACAACAAAAGGAATCAAAATTATGCTAAAATTAACATAAAGTAGCTAAATATACATATATAATTTTTTTTTTCAAATTTCTATTTCTATGTTTTAATTTTGTACTTTTTTGGTATATGTGATCTTTGTATTGTCATTTTATTTTTGATGTTTTATTATATACATTTGTACAGTACTTCGGTCTGCTGCAATGTTGTTTTTTAAGTGCTTTAGAAATAAAGTGGTATGGTATGGTATTTATTGTGTTTCAGTGTTGTCTAATCCTCGCTGTATTTATAGTTTGAAATTAAGCGTCAGAGGTCGCATGTCCTTGTAAATTCTCCGTGACCCGAGCCAAAGCCAGAAATCCTATTAGCACGGCCCGCTACGTGGACACAATACTGTTCTGTGACCTGTGTTCCTATTTAAAGGCAAGTTAAAGCACTTTTTCATGAACATCAGCAAACCTGATCTTCACCATTTGGGTCCTGAGTCTCTCACAGCAGCACTTTACACAACATCTAAGTACTACTGCACAGTTTTATAATTCAAAAATAATCTGCAGTATGAGCAGTGTTCATTTATTTTTTCAATATTTTATGGTTGTTTTCCATTCCCTGATAAGAATAACACTTTTGGCTAACTTGGTAAAAAATGTTTAAATGTCAATGACTGAATGGATTCAGTATTTTAATGAGAAGTCACCCAATATTCCTTCTTCCACCTGTTGGCTGAGAATCAACTGAAAATGAATCATCAGAGTTGAGCAGAATACTGAATACATGTGGGTGGAAAAATTAACACCAAACAAACAGTAACTGAATTACATTTATGTCAGCTCTCTTCAGAACCATGTTTAGTTGCCAACATTTTGCTAAATGTCAACAAATGCCTTCAAAATTCAAGTCCAAACTTTTTTTTGAAAGAATGAGCATTGCCCGCAGCTTTACGCGCTAAAGTTTTAAAACAAAACACTTTACATGATCCGTTGGTGCTCAGAGCATGTGTTGGGGATGACTCTCAGCTACTACCGTACCAAATTTTAGAGTCATAGCCAGTTTTGTGCAAGGCTAAGTTAAAATAGCTTTGTGGCCACTTTGATTTACGCTGTAATAAGCTGTTAACTAATCATGAGATATTTTGCTAACAGACAAGCAAACACACAGTGCATGTTACCTAATAAGCCAACTGTCCTATACTTTTCTACTAATGCAGACATAATGTACAAGTACACATACCAGTAGTACTTTCATTCAATGTCTGTATTATTATATAATGTATACTCTGTATATTGCATAATGTGTACAGCAGCACAAAGCATGATCTATTTATATAAATCAAACATGGTTGTGGATACTGTAGGTTTGTTTTAAGATATGTTAAGAAAAAGTCTAAAGTTACTAAGATTTATGTGAGTGGTTCTGCTCTCTCTCTCTCTCTCTCCCCATCTCCTTACAGGGATGTATGGTATGGCGAATGGGGATGGGTAAAAAAAAACCTGTAACACAGGGACATAAAATATCTTATGTTTATTGGCCCACACAAAGGCTTTATTGCAGGAGTTTTCTGGTGTCCCTATTTAAATCAGTAGAATGGTTGATGATTGCATTAAAATAAACTGCTTGGCTCCCACCACAATACAACCAACACCAGCTACAGATGCCTTCAGCCGACTTTTTAAATCACATTTTTATTATGTCAAAAAGCCAATAATAATATTTCATCTAATCTAGGAGTGTTTGTTTAATTTTGAAATTACAAACGGCTAAAAGAAATGATTTGTCCTGAAGATGTTTGACACTAAGACCTGAAAGCAGTAAGAAGCACAGCCTTGTAGTCAGATGGGATATACATATGAATGTACATTATTTACTCCTTCATCCAGATTTTGTTTAAACGCAGGGTAGTTTGAAATGCTGCCAGTTTTCAAAAGACATAAACAGAACGAAGCCAGCTACTTCCTTCTGCCCCCAGTTTTTGTGTTAAAAAACGTAAAAACATATTTACAACCGACCCACACAAACACTTTCATGGTATCTCTGATTATACTGACCAAAACCTATAAATGGAAATGCACAAATATTAATGAAGATCAGGCAAAACGGACTTTCTTTCATTCAGCTCATATATATTTACAGATATTTTGCCATCAATAGTGTTGTTAAACTGATTGTAGTTAATGTAATATATTGTTTATGAATCCCCAATGAGGTAATTCATGCATTACATTTTTCTCATCACACATGGAGCAGAGGGCTGCAATTTAAGGCACCCGAGGAGCAGCTGTAGGTTTAAGGGCCTTTCTTGACGGCCTACAGAGTGGAAAATAAGGGTAGAATATTCCTACCCAAATTAAAAGTGTTGGTCAGGGGATTTGAACCTGCGACCTTCCGATCATAGGTTCTATTATTCTCTGCTACTATTCACCAGTGCAGCACCACTTATAGGTAACAGAACAAAAATCAGACAGATGAAAGGTCCTGAACGTTGGCTAACTTCATCTCTGCCAGAGACGCTGAAAACATGTGGCTTCAAGGAACAAGATGAAAACTTTCATTCAGTGTCTTTTATCAAGAGTCTATGGGAAGACTGGGATGATGTGCTGTAGATGTGCAGATGAAAAGATTATTCTCTGAAGATTTATAACTGGAATAACTTCCTCAGTTCTTCCCTTGGTCTTAGTTCTTATTGATTTCTTTTAACTTTCAGACTTTGACATAAAAACAGAGCCAGAATACTGAAACAAAAGAATAGCTTTCTTTCTATTTCTCTAGGACAGGCCTAAACTCAAAGTCATATCTGACAAAGTAGAGATTTATTTTAAAATTCAACCATTTCTAGAATAAAACTTCAAGTGTTACAGAAATGCACAAGCAACCCTCTGCATTTATACACCGAGACATTCTTAATCCCTCTGTAGATTTAAAATTGACAATGTTATGCTGTCATCACTTTATGCAAACAACTCATGACTGATAAAGCTGAAGCAACTGCTAAGTTGTTCTATCTTCAACTACCATTCCATTAAAACAATGCAAGGAAAGAAACTGATTATCTTTAAAACAAATCTGCAGCCTCAACCTGCTCAGCTGGAACAAAATAAGGTTTCAGAGATAAGGTTGCCTACCTGAGCTCCTCTGCTCCTCTCTGTGACAGCAGAGACTCCAGAGAGTCTTTGAGGTTCAGATTGAGATTTGAGACATGCTTGTGCAGAGGGGATTAAGTGCTGATTGACTGACGGATGTACCTTACGTCCACCGGCAGCTACATTTAGCAGATGCGGCTGCACGCTTTGTAATCGGTCACGACACGTTTGACAGAATGTCAGCTTCAAAGAACCAGAGTTTTTGTTTTGTTCTGCTTTGAACTTAGTGAAACAGGTAACAAATCACAATCAAGTCGAAAGAAAATAACATTTATAGAAGAAATAATCCATGGAATTAGGAACTAATAAATAAAACACCCCAAAAAAGTGAAAAGTCAAAAATATTTTAACAGTTCACACATTTAGATTACATCATTGTTTACATTATTTCATTTGCATTACATAAATTAATAAACCTGCCAAACCTATCTTTTTTATTTCTGAGTCATGGGTCTTTTAGAATTATTCCTCTCTCTTGGTAATCTTTCAATTTTGTTGCCTTCACCTTGAAGTTTAATTGAATTTCAATTTAATTAAAAGTAATAATTTTCTAAAAATACTTCATATTAATGATGTTAAATTAGAGGGGGAAATCATTAAAAACATATTAGATTAAAGAGTGGTGTTTTTGCCAGTCGCCTCACAGCAAGAAGGTCGCGGGTTTGCCCCTTTCTGTGTATGGTCTGCGTGATATCCTCATCTGTTTTCTTCACCTGCTTTTTCTTTTTGGTAGTGGGAGGAAACCGAAGCATCTGGTGTTAACCCACTCGTGCAAAGAGAAAAACTTTCAACTGCACACATTTAGGCCCCAGGCTGAAAAGTAAACCTGAAATCTTCTCACTGAGGGGGCAGCTCTAACCGCTGCTCTGCTGAGGGGTTTACCCCCTTCCCCCCCCCAACACACACACACATACACACATTTAACCTCATGAAGTTAAAATATTTTATGGCTTTTAATCAAAATTAAATTCTAGAACATGAGACAACATGGAAAGAACACCGCTTTATGTACTTTCTTTGAGCTGGCAAGTCACAGTCTATTAAGGAGGTGGTTCACTTGTAAAGAAGCAACAGAAACAGGTTCATGCCTGTAAACTCAGCAGACATGATTGATGTTTAAATGTGAGTTTTTTGTATCTTTACTCAACATATTGGTTTGTTTGTTTGTTTGTTTTTACATTTATATAGACAGTTAACAGCAGAGGCATCAAGTAAAGAAAACAACAAGATTAGACTCTAATAATAAACCAGGACACCTGATTGGATGGTATTTATAGTCTTTTATAGTGAGTGAACTGTCTTAGTTTAAAAATACATTTTAATCTGTGATCATTTGGCCTACTTAGGAAAAATATATATAATTGGAGTGCTACAAAAAGATTTAAAGAAGAGGGGAGGATGTTCGCCTCCACAGTCTGGGGTGCCACAGGTGGAGGGGCAATGACTACCTCTAAAAAAATTTTATCTTAAAATGTATTTCCCCTGAATAAGGACACATTTTCAACTTTTGGATCCATGTCTTAGGACAGGGTTATTCAACTAAATTGCTCCGGAGGCCACAGTTACTGCAGGTCAACAGCTCAGGGGCCGAACATCCAGCAAATAAAATCATTATGCAAATAAACTAAGAATTACAAAATTTTGAAATAGATTATTTTTGCTGCATTTATTCATGAGTATAACATACAGAACCCTATAAAAGTAGTGATAATTAATATCAAAAACAAAAGGAACACATTATGCCTCCTATTTAATGCAAATATTATTTGGACATCTCTGACTTGCCACATTTTAAAACCAATTTTATTTTCACTTTCATTGTTTTATCTTCATCTGCTTGTAGTTTTAATTGTTATTACTGTGCACAGAAGCTTCTCGACAAGGTTCGGACATTTCTGTAGATACCAAACATGTCTATGTTTAACTAAAAGAACTCATAGTAATTAAAGTAGAAAACAGGTAGTTTGGGCTGAAGAGATGAATGAACCAAGTGGCGGGCTGAAATTTGGTCACTCGCTGGCCTGATGTGGCCCGCAGACCGCTAGTTGAATAGACCTGTTATAAAGGAGAGGACAAGCTTTATTCAGCTGACTAATTACATTGCTTTTCTTAATAAATAAAATTACTTTAAGTAAAAAAAAACACCTAAAGTATTCTATGAAAACACAACAAATCTTCTGAAATCCGTTTAAGGCCTTTGGTGCCACCCCAGGATTCTGGAGGCACCTCTATCCACAGCAGCCTCTTTAGAGTATTTAAAGTCTGCGTCCTCTCAAGTGTAAAAAAAAACCTAAATATATAAAATGAATTTTTAAGACCTAGCCTCTCTCCATGCATTAAAAAAAGAAACCTATTTAAAACCTGTCCAAGTAGAGCCTCCATGTTCCATGCATGTTTGTAAATCAACTCCACTTTTTAGTTCTCAGGTGGTCTCAAGGCTCATCTTCCTGTTTATACTGAATCCTCATCACTGTCTGACAGAAACACGTAGCCTCATGTATTTTTAATGGATTGTGTGATGGTGTGCACTTAGTCAGCTCCAAATGAAGCAGCGCGGCACGGCGTTCAGTTCTTGGATGTTTTTTGAGGATTGTTGTTGCTCAGTGATTGTTCAGTGATTGTCAGGAGAAACGCGGCGTGATGTCATGTGGACAGTTTAAAGCAGAAGACTTCACTGTTAATCAGGAGGATGCTGAGCGTGCCAGTAATTTAGTTAGTGTGATGGGTGATACAACAACATGCTGGTGCCATAACAGTCATAACCAGGAAGCGAAGAAAGATTTCCTCCTTTACTGACACATCCTGCAACTTCTCTAGAAATCTAAACCACTTTTGCTTTGGTTTAACGCCGTTGACTACAAAACACTCACAAGAACTGCTGAGGCTCGGCTCTCACCTCATTTTTGTCTTTGGTACGAGGCACGCTCTTGCCTGTTGTCTCTCTTGCTGGAACCACAGTTATCTGCTGTACTGGCATGCTGCCGTTTCCCAGCTACTCCCACAGCATCCCCATCCCGCCGCCCCTTCCAGTCCTCTGTCCCACCCGCAGGCTGCTCATCGGAGAAACCAGGCGCCACTTCCGGACTCTTATCTGCCCGATCCGGATCATCAAAAGCAACGGAGAGGTGGGGGGAAAGGAAGCGATGTGGATCACCGTGGCAACAAGACGACAGCTCCGAAGCTGGTGGGCACCACAACCCTCTCCTCCCTCCCACGCCTCCGCTCTCCTGCTGAGACACAGACGGGCGTGGAGGAGCTGAGACGGAGCTGAGCGGGGAAGAAAACAGCGGGGAAAAGGAAATATGAGTGATGTTGTGACAGGCGTTGTCTGTGCAGCATCTGTGTCGGCCTTGAAGGGGTGGAGCCAGGATTTTGTTGTTCTTGCTGTACAACCAGCATAAGGCCCACAAGGATTAGGGCTTAGACTAACCCCAATCTCCTCCTCTGACCAAGGGTGCAGCTAATAGGCTTACACAACTTTTTGCACGTGGACAGTACTCGATCACTCACACACAATAGGCTGATAGGTGTTAAGAGAACTCCTTTCTGCTGTCAGATTAAAGTGGTAATGGTTATTTATTTGCCTGACTGGACATAAGGGGTGGGGG